ATGGTGAATGACAGACTGTCTGCTTTAGCAGTGATATCCATTGAAAATAAAATGATAACAGAAATAAAGGATTTTAATGAAATAGTAATAAACAATTTTGCTACATCGAAGAGCAGACGCGCGGACTTTATTTTCAATTAATACTGGTCCATCACCACCAACACTACTACCATGCCCTGGGAATTAGTGGACATCAACTACAACTCATACCTGAGGTAGGTCACCTACTGTTGTGTGAGGCTTGCAGTCCCTCCATTTTATTTTCACGAGCCGCCACTGGAAGAGAGCTACAGTATATGTCTACCTGAGGTCTTGGCTCGTAATGGCTGTCATCATGTTGCTCGTCTGTGTTGACTTAGGTGTTTATTTTTTTGTTTTGTTTTTTAGATTATTCCCAAACTAAAACATCATACGCGTGTCACCAGGAAATCCTCTGTCTGTCAGCTAAGAGAGGCGGTAGTATTGAGAATAATGATGGGGTATATAAAATAGTCCTGAAAGCATAACATTTCCTTGTTGCTGGTGAACATGCAACTATCACCCAGTATTATACCTCTGAAGTAATGGGGGACTCCTACATAGGTCACCAGCCTCCTCTACTACTAGTGGTGGTAGCTGGTAATATGTCATTTATGAAGAAAAGGGGCTTAATACTTACAAAATAATAGTAACATTCTTTTTACCAGTGGAGTAAATAAGATTTATTCATACCTTCATATATTCAATATATATATATATATATATATATATATATATATATATATATATATATATATATATATATATATATATATATATATATATATATATTTCATATAAATAAAACACCACACATTATTGATTTTATCAATATATATATATATATATATATATATATATATATATATATATATATATATATATATATATAAGAGTGCATGTATTTTACTTATATAATTATATTTATCTGTGTAGTGTATTGAATAACAGGATAGAAAAAAATGAAGGAAAGAGAGAGGAAGAGGTAAGTTAAATAAGGCCTGTCCGAGTGAGAGCTGAATCAAAACCAGACTTGACCAACACTGGAGCAGGTACCGATACATCAAGGAGCCAGTTCATGCCCAGTACTTTGCCAACTGTGCATAACAGAGACGTGATTGACCGCCAAAGTCACTAACGAACCGATCAGTGGCGAAGAGGAAAAGGTAAAACAAAAAAGTGTACTGTAAAAGGGGAGACTGAAATGATGGTCTGGAATATACTTGTAAGGCTTCCTGCTGACACGCCCGTATACTTAACTCCCACAGCCATGAAACAACACTCTCTCGACGCTGAATTTAGACGCACACTAATGAAATATTGATTCCCAGAACAACGAAACTCACTTTTGTTGTTGACTCAAGTATAAACAAATGTTCCAACAACTTTGTTTTATGACGTGTAGTGGTGACGACCGGTGTTTGCATGTGTGTTGAATTTATCCATTGTTATAAATGTATATCTCACGGTACACCTAAACATATCAACACTAATCTCCTCCGTCACTCACCACCACTACCACCACCCACGACTACCTCCACCACCCACGACTACCTCCACCACCCAGGGCTACCTCCACCACCCACGACTACCTCCACCACCCGACTACCTCACCACCCGACTACCTCCACCACCCAGGGCTACATCACCACCAGGGCTACCTCCACCACCACGACTACACTCCTGCACGACTACCTCCACCACCAGGGCTACCTCCTACCCACGACTACACCTCTGCAAGGGCTACACTCCACCGCGACTACACTCCACCACCTGAGCTGCCTCCACCCACACGACCCTGCCTCCACCACCCGACTACCTCCACCACCCAGAGGCTACCTCCACCACCCACGACTACCTCCACCACCCTGGGCTGCCTCCACCACCCGGCCTCCACCACCCGACTACCTCCCACCCGACTACCTCTCCAACACCCGGCTTCACCTCCACTTGCCACGACCACCTCCACCACCCAGGGCTTCCTCCACCACCCGGCTACCTCCCACCACAGACTGCACTCCACCACACGACTTCACCTCCACCACCCGACTACCTCCCACCACCACGACCTCCACCAACCAGGGCTACCTCCACCAACCAGGGCTACCTCCACCACCCGGCCACCTCCACCACCCAGGGCTACCTCCACCACCCACCACCACCACCACCACCCACGACTACCTCCACCACCCAGGGCTACCTCCACCATCCACGACTACCTCCACCACCCGGCTTCCTCCTGCACCCACGGCTACCTCCCACACACAGGGCTACCTCCACCATCACGACTACCTCCACTGCAGGTCTACACCTCCCTCCTGTACTCCTGCTACACAGGTGTGAAAGTCTGAACACCACCTGCCCAGTGTCGTCAGTATAATGATTCACTCTGCAGTGTTATGCAACGTGTGTGTGTGTTAAAAATTACTCAAACAAATATATATAAAAGTGCCAGATGAACAAAAATGTGGATATTTAGAGACTTTATTAACGTTATTTAAGGGTAAACTAATCCTAACGATATCCGATTAAACCTCAGCTAATCTAACTTATTCTAATCTTCCATAATCGTAACCTAACTTAAACTAAATCACTCTTAGCCAACCAACCCTAACCTAACCTAACTTAACCCACCTCAAGCCTAGGCCAGCATGAAACTATTATACAATTGAATATAGAAATAGCTTATGATGAGATATTTCCTTGAGTGTTATCAATATAAAGTTCTATACAGCCAGTTTAGCGTCGCAAAACAGCTATCAATGGAACCGTTTAATGTAAATGGCTATGAATTATCAACATGTAAATAGACAGAAATACTGACCAATACATTTATAGACAGATAGACAGACAGACAGACAGACAGATAGACAGACAGACAGACAGACAGACAGACAGACAGACAGACATATATTCAATCAGTAACATCGCCTTACAAGTACACACATTGGCTTCAGGTTATACTTAAACAATGCATCAGGTATACGAACAGCGGTAAATAGTTCCTCACTTTAACACACAACAGCTCAAGTCATAATGGTTAAAGGCCTTTCACACTTCTCTGGCTGCCTCGGTACGCTTTAAATCACGCTAAAGGAACAATGTTATCACTGACTTGACCACTAACATTATTCTAAAGCTATAAATAATGAAATGATGTCTCTCTAAGTTAAGGATATTATACAGTTTAAAGATATATATACAAGTAGAAATAGATTAGTTAGTCGTCAAAGGGAATTGGGAAAGAAATTGGGGATACGAATTGTTCGGGGAGACTGTGGTAGATATTGTATATAGCTGTCTACTGTGTATATAAACTGTGTGTGTGTGTGACTACAGGTGTGTGGCAGTGTGTTACTACAGGTGTGTGGCAGTGTGTTACTACAGGTGTGCGACAGTGTGTTACTACAGGTGTATGACAGTGTGTTACTACAGGTGTGTGACAGTGTGTTACTACAGGTGTGTGACTGTGTTACTACAGGTGTGTGGCAGTGTGTTACTACAGGTGTGCGACAGTGTGTTACTACAGGTGTGTGACAGTGTGTTACTACAGGTGTGTGGCAGTGTGTTACTACAGGTGTGTGGCAGTGTGTTTACTACAGGTGTGGCTGTGTTACTACAGGTGTGTGGCAGTGTGTTTACTACAGGTGTGCGACAGTGTGTTACTACAGGTGTGTGACAGTGTGTTACTACAGGTGTGTGGCAGTGTGTTACTACAGGTGTGTGGCAGTGTGTGTTACTGAGGTATGTGGCAGTGTGTTACAGGTGTGTGACAGTGTGTTTTGGGTGTGTGGCTGTGTACTACAGGTGTGTGGCAGTGTGTTACTACAGGTGTGCGACAGTGTGTTACTACAGGTGTGTGACGGTGTGTTACTAGCAGGTGTGTGGGCAGTGTGTTACTACAGGTGTGTGGCAGTGTGTTACTGCAGGTGTGTGGCAGTGTGTTACTACAGGTATGTGGCAGTGTGTTACTACAGGTGTGTGGCAGTGTGTTACTACAGGTATGTGGCAGTGTGTTACTACAGGTGTGTGGCAGTGTGTTACTACAGGTGTGTGGCAGTGTGTTACTACAGGTGTATGATGATGGTGTGTGACTATAGGTGTGTGACGGTGACTACAGACGTATGATGGTGTGTTATTACAGATGTGTTACTTCAGGTGTATGATGATGGTGTGTGACTACAGGTGTGTGACGGTGTGACTACAGACGTATGATGGTGTGTTATTACAGATGTTATTTACTACAATTGTATGATGATGATGTGTGACTACAAGACATGCTGATGATGATATTTACTCTCACTCCTTTTCTCCTCCTCATTCTCTCTCTCTCTCTCTCTCTCTCTCTCTCTCTCTCTCTCTCTCTCTCTCTCTCTCTCTCTCTCTCTCTCTCTCTCTCTCTCTCTCTCTCTCTCTCTCTTAGTACATCTTTCCATAAAGAAATAAAAGTTCGCTATAGTTTACTACGCATCCATACAACAGCCAATGGGATTGCTCGTGCTTCATGGCGAGATAAAAGTTGTCGTTGATTGGCTGATATGACTCGTGCAACGATGTCTTGTCTTAGTCACAGAACTTGGTAGTCTCGTGAGGCGAACACAAACTATTGGCTGTGGAGGCGGTTTTCTTGGTCAGATTATGGTTGAGTCCTCGGTGACGGGATGTTTATTATGGTGACACACAAAACTCCGGAAGAGCAACAACAACATGAACCTGATTTAGTTAAGCACTCAGGTTCCTTGATAAGACACATTCAGAGTTGCCACTTTCCGTAAATGTAGATGGAAGCTCTAATAAGTCTTGTAAATGTGTTTGTCGTATGTTTGGTTTACTATACTGACGGAGGGAGAGTTTCCTGGTGGAGGTGTAGCGTGGGGATGGAGGTTATGATAACTCTGGGGAGGCGGGACACATAAACACTGAGCGGCACCCGACTCTATAGGTGCCAGCTTTAGCGGAAACATGGGAATCAGTGCCTTGCTTGATGGTATACGGAATCGTTCTCATTGTTCGCTCTCGTGTCTCTCACTCGCGGAACTTGTCACTTATGTTATGGTGAAGAGTCGGAAACTTTTACCGCTGACGGCCACCTTCCACATCGCTCACATACTCTCTATAGCGAAGAGTATTCCACGTCACTACTATCTATAGTAAACATTACTATATCTTGTGCCGTCTGCCTGGTGGATGGGTGTAGCTGGTGAGGCCTCGTGTCGGTGGAATAAAGTGTTCTCATCGGAAACTGAGTTGCTGCATCAACAAAAACTCACTTACATGGACCGTAGCCGGGAAGTACATGATAATTGCCCGTTCTAGACGCAGTAACATTTGGCATCATGGTGACGAGGTATACAATAGACCAGATACTGTCTTACGCCCACACCACGCCTACATTCCCTTACAACACAACGTCGTCGTCGCCACCAACAGGCACCCCACCCTCCTCCACCCCTACACCTAGACTCTCGAGAGAGTCCCCGCCACCAGCTGACAGGGAGGACAATAAAAGCATAGAGGTCACAAAGAAAGATGATATCCACAAGTGCTTAACACCCATGGGTGTTAAGCACTTGGAAGACGCGGAGAGTCCCACGGAGAGTCCCACGGAGAGTCCCACGGAGAAGGAGGCTGGTGAAGGGACAAAAGAGATGGACATCTTGGAAGAAGATATTAGTCGCCCGACCCTGGCCAGACCCGTGGCCCTACGAATCCCGCAGAGACCCAACATGACGCTCCACGAGAGGCCGACACTGGAGACCACCGCCGGGGACCCCAGAACGGGGCTGAGGCCGGAGGTACAGTACGGTGGTGCAGGTTATGATGTGATGAGCGGCCTGGGTGTGGGCGGCGGGGTGTACGGGCTGATGCTACGACAGTACATGGAGGCTCATTATCGTGGCCTAGCTAACTCTGGCACCTACCTGCCGCTCCCCTATCCCGTCCTAGACCCAGGTGAGTCTTATTACCCTCCCTCTCTCTCACGGACCAAACACTGATAACTTATCTTAAGGCGACTCCAGAGAATAACTTTACTTTTTGGAAGGGTTAGAATAAATTGTTTTAAACACACACACATACACACACACACGGAACTGTCATAATCATACAATGGAGCAGGTAAGTAGGAGGTCGACGGGTCAAGCTCAACACAAGTAGCCAAAACTGGAGGCTGTTAAACGTAGATCCTGAGACAATTATTACACAGCCAGCAGAGTTCACTAGTAGGTGTTGTCCAGTTGATCTAGGATGGTGACAAATTTGCTTTAAGGATTTGGGTATCAGCTGATGCTAAACGGGTCTGTTGTATGTCAGTAAGTCTGTTAATGATTAAGACATGTTAACCGGTCCGTTGCACCCACCAGGTCTCGCTTACCCGCTGGTGGGACGGTCACGGCGACGCGGAGGACAAGTGAGGTTCACCTGTGACCAAACTAGCCAACTGGAGGCGTGGTTCTCCCGCCACAAGTACATCACCCCGCCACAGAGGAAGACCATAGCCAGGGACCTCAACCTCCAGGAGCGTCAGGTGAGGCCAGGGAGGGTCAGAGGGAGGTAGGTAAGGAAAGAGGGAGGGGGAGGGGGGAGTCGGGAAAGGGAGGAGGGTGGCCAGGGAAAGTCGTACAGAGAGGAAGGGCAGGGAAAGAGAGAGGAAAGGTAGGGAGAGGGAGAGAGAGGGAAGACAGGGAAAGAGGGAGGAAGAGAGAGACGCCACAGGAAAAGAGAGGTCAGGGAGGGAAGGTACATCACTTCACACACACACACACACACACACACACTACTGACCTTAATTCACTCATGCAACTCTCTCTCTCTCTCTCTCTCTGTCTCTCTCACTTCCTATTTTTTCTCAATTTCTATCTCTTGTATAAATATATATTTTCTTTAATTCTATCTCTCTCTTTCTTTCTTATCATATTTTCTTCTCCTCTTCAATTACAATCTTTTATCATCTTTAAATATCATCCTCAATTTCTTGTCTTTCTCTCTCTCTCCTCCTATGTCCTTCTCCACTACCAATATTCTCTCTCTCTCTCATTACTTCATTACTTCCACTCTTCCCATCTTCTCTCACCCTCTTTCCCTTCTTCCTCTCTCTCTCCCCCCCCTCTTTTATCTCTCTCATCCCACCTCCCACCATTCACTAGGATAACTTTTTTCTCCTTTCCCATCCTAAATACATATCCTTCTCCCTCCCCCATTCCTATGCCCATCATCCTGCACCTCACTGAAGTCTCTCTCTTCAGGCGCTTCTCGATAGTCAGTTGTTTTGAAACCTCTTGAAGTAAGTCTCGATAGTCATTTGTTTTGAAACCTCTTGAAGTGAGTCTCGATAGTCATTTGTTCTGAAACCTCTTGAAATGAGTCTCGATAGTCATTTGTTTTGAAACCTCTTGAAGTGAGTCTCGATAGTCATTTGTTCTGAAACCTCTTGAAATGAGTCTCGATAGTCATTTGTTTTGAAACCTCTTGAAGTGAGTCTCGATAGTCATTTGTTCTGAAACCTCTTGAAATGAGTCTCTATAGTCAGCTGTTTTGAAACCTCTGGAGGCGAGTCGAAGAAATAGAGACGGGAAGGAAGTATGTTCAAGACGTTATTTAACTAACTCTAGATAACAAGTTTGGTCGACTGTTTCCTGAATTAATAATATTGTTTTTTGTGTTTTCCCATTGTTTTTATTATTGTTTTTATTATTATTATTTTTCAAATTAATTGTCTCATTTTATTTTCATTTCATTTGGTTTTACTATTTTTTTCGAGTTATTCTTTTTTCATTATTTACTTTGGGTTTATTTTATTATTTTTCATTATTACTTATTTTCTTCTATTTTATTCATTTATTTTTCTTCATCTTTATTTATTTACTTATGTTTTATATTCGTTTTCTTATTTATTTTATTCGTAAGGACTTTGTAGTGAGCTTATTGATGGTATATAGTTGTAAATAACCGAAAAATACTGTGTGTGTGTGTGTGTGTGTGTGTGTGTGTGTGTGTGTGTGTGTGTGTGTGTGTGTGTGTGTGTGTGTGTCTATTGCTTGAAAATATTAAATGATGACACATGGTTGTACGTACACAGATTCAGCAGATTAATACTCACTATCCCCACCTCTCCTCCTTTTCCTGCCTGCACTCTCCCCCTCCTTCTGTCTCCTCCCCTCCTTCTCTTCTTCCCCCCCTCCTCCCTCCTGCCTCCTCTCGACCAATCAGCTCATCTCCTCTGTCAACAGTGTACGTGTTTTTTACTGTAGTTTCTCACGCTTTACATCCGGGTTACACAACTGTCTCCTTCCTGTATCTCTTCCCATATTTGTTGGTTTATTGTTCTCCTTCTCCTTCCTCTTCCTCTCTCTCTCGCTCGCTCTCTCTCCCTCTCTCTCTCTCTCTTCCCTCTTTCCTTCCTCTGCCTCCGCCTCTCTTCTCCATTCCTCCTTCCTCTCCCATCTCTGTTCCTCCTTTCCTTCTCCCTCCTTTCCTTCTCCCTCCCTCACCTCCCTCTTTCCTCTCCTTCGTTCGTACCTAGAGCTTAAGTCAACTGCTTAACAAACAATAATCTATGTAATTTACCTCAGAGAACTTAACGACTGTACTACTTAATTGCTGGTCGTTTCCTTACCAGGTGAAGACGTGGTTTCAGAACAGACGGGCCAAGTGGAGGAAGGTGCAAGCCCAGGTGAGTAAATGTGTTGTCTGTTACCTGGGTAGATGATTAAGGTAGATGAGTTGGTCAAGGTAGATGTGGGTCATACCTGGTAGATGATCAAGGTAGATGTGGGCTTTTATCAACACATAGTAGAATGTTTTAAACCAGAACCTCCTTACCTCGACCATTTAACCTAACAAAAGGGTCACCCTCTTCGGCGCCTTCCCCAGATAGGTGTGTGTAGTGTCTGGCTTTCTTTACTGAACTTATTATGACTTGAGTGTAACAATACCAGTTAAATTTGAGGCGGTAGTGGTGATGGTAGTGTTGTGTGGAAGGGAAGGGATGGGATGGTGGCATTGTGGAAGGGGTGGGGTAGTGGTGTGTGGGATAGAGGTAGTAGTAATGATGGAGGTAAGTAGTGGTGGTGGTGTTAGAGGGGTAGTGGTAGTGGTAGTGGTGGAGGAGGTAAGTAAGTAGTATTAATGGTGGCGGTGATAGTGGCAGTTGTGGGGTGATGGTGGTGGTGGTTGTGGTGGGGGGCTGGGGTAGTGAGGGGCTCAGATCATATCATTAAACTGCTCGGGTAATAATACTCTTTCACACTATCATTGACTAATCCCCAGCGATAACACTGTCATTATCATCTCGTGTTCTCTATAAGATTATTCACTGATGGTATATAATCATGAGGTTATCTTGAGAGCTAAGATTGGTGTTAGATCATTGAAAATTATCATCGCTAAGATTATTATTTATTTTCCGATCGTAAATAATCATAGTTTGTTTCGAATCCTAATTGACGGTGTTACATGAGAGCTGTTCAACGTCTCTTTACTGATGATTTATCCATTACTGTGCAACATAAACATACTGCAGTCGTGAAGAAAAAATATAAATTCCACAACACGCGAGACTCCTAAGGGTTTTGAATGAGTCTCTGGAGTATTGGAACGAGTCTCTGGAACGTTGGAACGAGTCTCTGGAATACTGGAACAGATATTTGGAATGTTGGAACGAGTCTTTGAAATGTTGTGGAACGTGACTTTGAAGTACTGGAATGAGTCCTAGAGTGTTGGAACGAGTCTCTGGAATACTAGTATTAAGTAGTGGTGGTTATTGGTGGTGGTAGTAGTGGTGGTTATTGGTGGTGGTAGTAGTGGTGGTTATTGGTGGTGGTAGTAGTGGTGGTTATTGGTGGTGGTAGTAGTGGTGGTTTATTGGTGGTGGTAGTAGTAGTGGTGGTTATTGGTGGTGGTAGTAGTAGTGGTGGTTATTGGTGGTGGTAGTAGTGGTGGTTATTGGTGGTGGTAGTAGTGGTGGTTATTGGTGGTGGTAGTAGCGGTGGTGGTGGTTTAGTGTTGATGATAGTAGCGCCAGTAGTGGTGGTGGTTATCGCTGGTGCCGGTAAGGGCGGTAATAGTGTAGATAGTGCCATTAAGAGCGTCAGTGGATACAATTTCAAGATAAGAGAGAGGTAACTCACACACATACTGCAAGCGCTATGGCCGCCAGTATCTACAACACAGAGGAAGTTAACCTTGATAAAACGTTTTTTGGTAATTTTAGGACGCGATAAGATACACAATTATATTCTGAGGTGAGCTGTTGAGGACGTGTGATACCCCATTATACGCAGTAAATGTTTCCCTCCCCATCAACTACACGGCTCCGTGAGGTGTAGCCTTCACTGCTCTCTGTGCTACACCTTTCACTTGCTCTACCCCCCTCCCCTCCCCTGTATTTTCGACGAACCTCTACACTTTTTAACGTATTGTGTTGATTTTTGTGTGTGTATTTTTCCCAACCTGTTTTTGTATTTTTTGTTATGTTTCATGTGTCGTGCATTGGTCTACCCCCAGCATGATTGATATATGAGTCCATGTTTCGTTACCTTCAGTTTTGTTCGTGTCTATTCCTCTCTTCTGTGTCTTCTGTCTTCCGTACACCTCTCATTTACCAGTAACTGCCAGCGATAGCGTCACTCCCTCTAGTGCCAGTATCAGGGGCAGCAGTATATAATCAGTGCTTCCTGTCTACTGCCTCATTACCTCTCTGCATAAAATTTAGTCCCGGAAGTTTTACCGGTGATACTCTCCTGACGTATATCGTTCTGTACCGGACACGACGCGACACAGTGAACTGAAATGTGTATGGACGACGCGTGTAAGCTCTCAGGGCTCTTTACCTCACCTTTTTCCTCTGACTAGGGACAGGGAAATGCATAATAAAGGCAGCGTCATTATATTTGTATCGCAGCCTGACCAGCTCTGTTAAACGTTTTCCTAAAGTGTTCAAGAATGTGCATAACTTATCGTGTCATAATCCTCCTGTTTTTAATGACAATTAATATAATATAGACTAGACACAGGTAATTATTCAAACTTCTATTAGTTGTATGATTACTGAGAGAGAGAGAGAGAGAGAGAGAGAGAGAGAGAGAGAGAGAGAGAGAGCCATCAGCAGCACCTGTGTGACGTTTGGAACATTTTCCGGGTGCCTATCTCCACCACAACGATAAAATGGTCACACAACTACCACAAATTACACAAAAAATCTTAGCGTATTACAGCCATCACCTCGTTACTACCTAGGAGAGGAAATGATGAGTTAGTGGTCCAACAAGGTAAAAATAACGAATTATCCATTATCACTTCACATAGACAGAACACCGTGATTAAAACCCGTCACACGATACACATCAACATCACACTTCCCGTTTTCTTCTCTTATTTTGGAGACTATTAACTACATCTGTTACAAATCGTCGACAGAAATACTAAAAAGACACAAACATTTGCCTCTTGTGCGGTACAGGAAGGCAGATATGATACAGGAGCCAATACAGGATCATAGACCAAACTACAGTACTGTATTAAGAAGTTTATATATACTACACCCGCCAGAATTACCTGACAAATAGCGGGAACACCACTCGTGTCACATTAGTAACTTATATGTAAAGAAACACACGAAAATAAAAATTCCAGGTACATCTAATTAACCAAGACGTGTGTTCCTAGTCTAATAATGCTCACACGCTCAAAGATTTTTTTTGGTAGGATTGAAATAGTCAAGTAAAATCCTGTCATATTAATATTCATGGTATTGTTACGGGGGCAGGTAAGGAGAGATGGGCCCAGATATGATAAGTGTGAGTAGAGAACAGTAACGTGGGGGAAGCATTTGTGGGTGTGAAAAGCGAAATAAAACTGTAATAAATAAAAAAAATCTTTACTTTGATTATTTCATATTATGACTGACATTAGAGGGAAATATTTGTAAATGTCGCTGGTATTGTAATTTATGTTTAGTTTCTCGTTTGAAGGTGAATTCTTACGGAGTGGAGTAGTGATAGTCATTTACCTCACCCAAGGAGCTAGAGGACTTGGGAAGTAAACCTAGTGTTCATTTTAAGGATTTAACATTAATGAACCTAATTTTAAAATAATCTAATTTGAATGCGAATCCGAGTACAGTATATAGTTATTCCAAAAGGGACGTGCTAAGATATCGGGCGCGTGTGTCCATGACTTACCCCGCACGAGTACTGTACCACCAGGAGGCTGTGGGCCATTTGTGATACACTTTTCATCACCTTTAAAACTAAGGCATTAGTATCATTAGTAACCTTCACATGTAGGCTACGTCTTTTTCGCCTTTGGTAACTTTTCAAAACTAAACCTCATTAATGATCCTCATACCCCCCAAAATTTTTCGGCATTCATTGATCTTCAAAACTAACCTAATTCAACACCGCCCCCCCCCCCACACACACCGTAGAGACGTGATCCTCATAAACTTATAGGTATCGCCTGTGAGGTGGCCACGACGTATCACAACTAACTGCTGATCATTCCCAACATCAGGTCTGAAGTAGAACAAGGTTAAGGTATCAGCCTGGTTAAGGTGTTTACTCATAGGGTATTACTGTGGTTGATCCTCATTTACCCCGTTTATACACCACACTCCAGACTGTCTTGTAATGTAATTTGTGTGAGATACGGTACATAAACACCTTCAGTATTTTCTTCAAGAGTGGTGGTGGTGGGGATACCTAATACCTTCTAAATTTATTGTTGGAGTCAAGGTGCTTGAAATGGTTAAGTAACTTCATAATCCATCACTTTATAAAGAGCCTGTATTAAAGTGCTTAGTACGCCAAATACACGTCTGTAAATTATAAATGATACCGAGTAATAAAATTGTTACCTTGATCATCATTCTATTGCACAACATTGCTCCCCCTTCGTCCCCCCCGCCCGCTCCTCGTCTCTGTAAAATAAAATAAAATATTCCATCCCACCTGCTTCTGAAGGGTAATGTTCCCGTAAAGAATACAATTCATTACAGGCGCTAAAGCCAACAAGCATATACACAAGAATACAGATACCGAGGCTTGTGGCCAGAGCTTGTTACATACACCCCCAACACAGCAAGAGAGGCATTCATATCACGCCGTAATCCTTCACACGGCGACGGGGGTCTTAAACCTTTGCTCGTTTCACACATTAAAAAAGTTTGGGTTGTAAACATTAAGGCGAGTGTGAGATAGTCGACGTTCAAGGCTGTGTAAAAGTAGGTGTTGCACTCCTCTGTCGTGCTCTGTGAACTGTGGCATCTTACTGTTCAATGTCTCCCGGACGTGTGTCTCTTATCAGTCATATTAATATTTATTCTTCACTAACTAAAAATAAATAGCCCCGTTGATATATATTTTTCTTCACAGCGGGGATTTATATTTATGTTTTTCGGTAACACGTAGACGAAAAATAAATTTGAGCGCTACATCAAGTGGAAGACTTTTTTTACTAAACCATTAACCCGGGAAAAAATGATGAGGCCGTTTTATTATTCAGTCTTCCACGAAGTCTGGAGAGAGTTTGGGGATCAGTGAAGAGATCAAACTGTACAAGGTGTCGTCTGGTGGGTGTACTGTACTCATCGCTCCCTGACACACGGAAGTTGTCTATAATCCTTACTCCAAATAGCTGGACTATGCATGTCTCCACTTCTTCAAGGACACTATTATTATATTAAAAATTTTCACGGGTGAAAAATGAATATATTAACAGGTGAGTGGATGAACAACGAAATGAAGAATGAATACAAGTTCCCATTCGTTTGATGCAGTTTACGGGAAAACTACAATATAAGTCTCTGTGCCGCCCTGCAGGATCCCATAACCTCATCACCTGGAGGTACACCTCAGGTAGTCTCCATTATCGAGGTGAGACACAGGAGAGGGGGGGGGGGCGCTGCTGGGAGTATTGACGGAGTATCGTCGTTCAATCACTGATAAGAGAGCCACTAACACCTCCACTAACACCTACTTGACACTGATACAGATAGTCCCAACGATAACATCACCACTCAGCGCAAGTGTTCCTCCTCCTCCTCCTCCTCTTTACGTAAGGGCCGCCCCAGCTGGAATGTTTTGATTGATGGCTCTTTCATTAAGGCGTCCAAGACTCTGGCGTCAGCAACAGTTCAGGTGTTGGGTAATGATAATCGTGTTATGGATATTGGTTATACTTGTGACAGGTATTAAGTGAGGTGGATTATAGGAAGGACATACAGTAAGTTATTTAATTACACTTTAGCAAAATGACACCCTGAACCATAACGTGCCGCAATTACTGCCCTTTAAATGTATCGGCTTTTGTGTGTGTGTGTGTGTGTGTGTGTGTGTGTGTGTGTGTGTGTGTGTCAGGTATGGGGCGATTGAGTTTCAAATTTAACTAGTTAAGTTAATTTAAATTTTTTCCTATTAAGTTAAGTTCACCTGATTTTTTGAACATTAACTAATTAAGTTAAGATTTTTTCGATTAAGTTAAGTTAACCAATGTGTGTCAAATTTGCTTAGGGGAATTTTCATGTGGATTAAATATCTTAATATCCCGTATATGTTTTCCAGAAGAGTCAATGAATACTGTAGTTTGAATACTTGATAGTGAGGCAGTCTGTCACACTACTTCCTTGGTATGAATAAGTCTTGAGAAAAATAATTAAAAATTCTTGACTTTTTTATTGTTTCAGTATGCAAGACCACGTCAGACTTTCTTACTTGAAAAATTATATCATGATAAGATAATAATTCTGATTATCAACTAAATAATAATCACTGAAAGTTTATTACACTTTATAATGCTAAATATATTGGATACTCACTGGGCACAAGGGCTGGTGTGTTATATATTAATTATTTGTTATTTTTTCCAAGGAATTAATTGATAATTAATCGAAGTTAATCAATTTATTTGCCAAAATATAGATTAAGTTAAGTTAAACTGTTATTTCAAAAGTTAACTAGATAATCTAAGTTAATTAATTGCCCCATGCCTGGTGAGTGTGTGTGTGTGTGTGTGTGTGTGTGTGTGTGTGTGTGTGTGTGTGTAAAGATGTTTATAGTGTTTATTCTATGGGTATATAAATTCAGGTGTATTGAAGAGATACATGTCTTCACACATTCATGTTGACACTGCGTATTAGGCACAGAGACACAATAGACGTCTCCTCTAAGACAAACAGGTTGAGAAAAGTGTAGTGCCAACTTTTAAACCTATAGTACAAGTTTGAAAGGCTTTTAGATTAAGTAGCATCAAAACTCTACTTGAGACTATCATAAGTAGACGCATTCTCTTACCTTCAGTTTAGAGAAAAAAAAATCAACGTACAAAGCTTTAAGAGTATAATGAGTAAATCCGTGTTGAGATGTGTCTCTGACAGCAGCGAAATCTCTCTCGCGTTAGAATCCAGTTTTGAAAAAAAACAAGAAAAGAAAAAGTTCTTATCTGGTTCAACATCTATCATTAAAGTATCTTCAGCTTCTCCGGTACAATACTATCTTGGCCCTGATAAGAGCCTCTTTCCTTTGCGACCATCTGGTGTTCCTTCATGTTTTCTGAGTCAACACAGGTGACTCACACAACCCAGTATATCGTAAACTCGTACAGTGTCGAGGAACACTATGCTAGCGTCCCTTGTTGTAGTGGTACAGAGATCGCTCGATTAAAACTGTTAAGGTATTAACTAGGAAACATGCACGTAAGTTTTAACAACAGTAATGAGACATCCTTGATCCCCTGACGTGATTACTTAAAGGGGGCATTTCAAATCACTACCATAATCCTGGTTAATGTTAATGAACACGATATATCAGTTTGTATTCCAATAAGTTTTACTGTTAATAAAATGCATGTCGCCGGAAAATTCTGTAATCCACTCTTGTGATAATATTTTCAACTGCACCGTGAAATCTGTACTCATGATTATCGTTAAAAGTGTACTCCGTGTGTCATGAGAAAAAGGGCGATTATCGACGTCAGATAACCATAATTAATTAGAGTTATTATCAAGGGAAAAATGAGTGGTGAAAAGCGATGTGTGCGATCAGAGGGATTTGATGAGGTCATAGATTAGCCGGAGATATCGCTTATGTGTACCAGCGTACTGAGAGGGGTGAGAAGCACCTTAAATACTCGACCACCTCTAGAACTCCTATAATAGTGTCTGTAGCTATTGTTGTGTCTGTCAGTACATGTATGTCTATTTTGCCCTCTCACATGTGTGAGAGGGCAAATGTGTGTACGAAGTGTAGAGTGATGCGAGGGATTTCATGAAATAATGAATATTGTACATTTTGGTGTTTCAGAATGGTGAGGGAGCTCCTCCAGAGAACACCTCTTCTCCCGCCACTTCACATGACGGCAGCGAAGACGACCCCATGGAGGAAGACCACCTGGAGGAAGGTACTGACAGAAACAACCACAGTGATAGCACCCACCAGGGCGGGAAGACGGAGGCAAGCAACAACAACAACAACACGAAGGAACAAAACAAGAAATCAATCCCATGGGAAAAAACAAACACAAAGAACAAGTAGATGAATACTCGCTTTAAGAGAACAAATTATAGATGGATAGCTGGGAAACCTTTTACAAAATTCTAAATAAAGTTAAAACATAAAACTAAAGTATGAATTCGAGAAGAAGAGAAAATAATGTTATGTTGATCACACCTAACGTTCTTGTGTTTACAAATGATGTGTTATGGGTAACTATTTGATTTGGCTACGAATATATGTTAATATTTACATATACTGTGAGTCATACATTCCTAGACATACACAGTACTTATAAAGAGAAAATATTAATACATAACAAACATATATGCATGAAAATATACGTAGATTAAATACAAACAGTATATACAAACGTGAGCGGTAATATTTTTTAAAACAAGGAAAAGTTTCTAAGTCCGCTTTAAATCCAAGTTCAGTTCAAGAACCTATAATATTCACATCGAGATCATTTTAAGAAGTTTAGTCTTTTATGGAGTACGAAAGGAATAAGCAAAAATGGAAGACGTTTGGCTGGAACAGAGATTTTGGCTAACATGCTAAAAGTATCCAACAATCACAGAAGAGGTTCGTTACTAGGCTATAATATTTTATATCTACATACATTGGGAATATACAAATGCATTAGACCTTATATAAATATTTCTTGTGGTGGTCAGAAACTTCCACCTTCAAGGCACATAACAGATATACAAGTGATGGAAAAAATGGTGCATTGAATCGAATTGGCAAGAGGCAGGAAATTTGTCAATGTAACAGTGCCGCTATCTTGCCGTCTATGCTAATATAAAGTTGTTGCTTAATTTGTATATAGTCTGTGATCAATGAAGCATGAGGGTGACAGCAGCCTGGACGTTATCTTTCATAGTCTTATTGTTGGTAGAAGTTCAAGGACATATAACTATATTTGAAGTAGTAGTTGTATCGATTCTTAAATACAAAATTACATGTGTTATTCTCAGTGCCGGATTTAGACCTGTGGAGGCCCATGGACAGCCTCTTTGTGGAGGCCCCCCTCATTATAAGTACCTAAGAGGGTGAGGTGGCGAGTGAAGCCAGCCTAAATATCTGGGAGTTCCGGGGGGCGCTGTAGGCCCCCCGGGAAAATTTTGAAATTTGAACACTTCTTTGGAGAATTTTGAAGCCATATGCAGTTATATTGAGGAAATTAGAACACACCGCCCTGATGGCATTCGTAATGGAAGTGATAATGAAAAAAATATTTTATTTGTTTTTTAATCTCAATTTCGTTATTCCATGTAGTTCATTTTTACGGTTCGTAGGAAAACCAGGTATTCATGAATTTCAAGGAGTAGCTAGCCTAATATCTATCACGCTTCTTGCTGAACATAGTTTTACGTGATGGAATAGATAAACATGAATTTTAAAGAATGAAAATAAAAATAATCCAAATGAATAAACAAATAAATAAAATATTGTAATACGTGGAGGCCACCAGATTGTGGAGGCCCCTGGGCAGCTGCAGTGCCCACTCCTGAATCCGGCCCTGGCTATTCTGATAAAATTCGAGATTAATGAAAAAAGTAAGAATTCTGTTACGTTTAAGATATTGTGTACATATTTTTTTGTATAAGTAAAATCAATAAAGTGACGAAGCTTCATAAGGAATTGAAATTGTTGACTTGTTTGTATTATGAGGTTGAAATGGATGTGTTTATTTACCATACTGCACTACCGGTGTTTTAAAAGTTCAAAGTTATAATTATATATGTGATTCCATGTGTCTACAAGTGTTATAAAATGTTCTATGTTCAATAATACTCACTGTAATACTCGGATGTTTTCGTTAACCTATAACGTGTTCACATTATTCAGAGTATATTATTTTAGTTTCGGTCATCCCGGGAATCTTAGGAATTTAGGTTAGGTTAGATATAGTTCCTGGGCTCTGTAGCAAGGTTGGTTTGTTTAGGTTAGGTCACATTAGATTAGGTTGGTTAGGTTAAGTTAGGTTAGATCAAAAATCGTTCAAAACACGTCACAAATCATCGGAAAACATAAGGATTACCGAAACTATAATTTTACCCTATTCAAAAAATTCACTTGCATTCTGACACCATTATATAAAAGCGAAATGTTGGGTAGTTGATAATAAATACTATCCTAGGGTAATTGGAATTTATATATATACATTTATTTATTTTTTTTTTTTTTACTGTATTCACCTTTAACTGGAATTGTATCTTGACAATTGAGTTTTGTGGTTTACTTAGACTGCGTTCACCCAAGCTTGAAATCTTTCTTTTGTTTTCAATTTAATTATAATAGGTAATACTAAAGAGTTGTTGTGCACCTTAACTACCTATTGTCGACTAGTTTTGTATAAGAAACAATTAATTCTTCTTTAATCCCGAGGAAACCACAGATCAAGTGCAGGGATTAGAATGCTCTTTTTTTTCTTTCTGCCTCTTTGTTCCTGAAAATAATTTACGTCCATCCGCTGCCATTTTTGTGCTTATTGTGTTGTCATTTAATTATAAACAGTGACGGAGACTACTGCATGTCTTTTACATTAATCAAGTTAGGATAGGTTGGTTAGCTTGGTTAGATTAAGTTAGGTTGGTTAGATTAGGTTAGGTTGGTTAGATTAGGTTAGCTTGGTTAGATTAGGTAGGTTAGGTTAGCTGGGTTCATGTTATCTCGGGTAATGATGCACTTTGACGCCATGTGCACTTGATATTAGGAGATATTCTGAGGTCAATGGTAATTACTTTTTACTATTAAAAAATGCCTGAGTACAATACTGCATTAAAGAAAAAGTAACGGAATTTTCTGATGAAAAGGGGGGTCCGCACCCCCAGGACCTTCCTGGATCCACCCCTGTATACTCGATATATTAGTTTTATGTAAGTATAGGAGAATATCTCCGGTGAACTATCATGATAAATTAAATAAATTAGGCATGAAAATTGAGTCATCAAACTTATTTCTTTTTATTATTTAGGTGTCATATGTTTTTGCTTATTTTTGTCAATAGATATGAATATGAAACTTAAAACAAAAAGTTACAACACTCCTCTGTACTCCCCACACTTCTAGTGCCTAATTTGTTGACGGGTTCACCTCACTCATGAACAATACAGAGTAACCTCTCCTTGAACGAGTCATAGAGTAAACAATCTTAAAGTACACACACACACACACTGTAATGGGCCCCTGTCTCATCAACAGAACATATTATATAAATGGGTCAATACATCTGATATTATATTCAGATTCACCACCCTGTAACTTCCCACTGTCTGTGAGTAAGACATGAGTTGTACACGTGAGAGGGCAACTCTCCCAGGAGGGTAGAGACCCATCGTCAGCACATCTGTAAGCCCCACACAGCGAGGCCCTTACTCCTTAGTCGCTCACATCAACTTATATCTTAAGGACGTGACCTAACGTTTATAATACTTAAACGCCGTTCCTTTCTCATTCACTCCTATACAGTGGAACTTACGGTCGATCTACACTCAGGAATTATATATACAACCCTTTTATAATAAAACAAGGAAGTACAGTTTGGGTTTCGTTACTTAAACCCAAATAATAAATATATGTGAACGGCCTGGTTAGTTGCACAAGCAGCCGATTCACACACACGACCCTGAGAGCACTGACACAAAGGTTAATTAAACATAAGATGGACTGAGGAGTGTGTCTGTATTCTGCCGCATATATCAATAACAAAATTCACAAGATGTTGGTCATATTGGTGACTACATAATGTTAATATATATTATACAACAAACAAATTCCTGAAAACAAGTTATCTGAACACGAAAAAAAATGTATGAACACATATATAAAGGCACGTATACATAATAAACACATTGTTATACATAGCAGGCAGTTAACTAATATCACATTCTGTCATCAGCTGCAAATATAAGGAAATATTATTTGAACAATGTACGGAACAGTACACAGTAGACTGACTCATCAAAGTTAAAATCCTTCTTACTGTTTATTCCACCTCTGAGTAATAATCTGAATAATATTTACAAATAACCGACAAATAAGTAAATCATACATCATTGTAAATATGTTTTCAGTAACTGTGTAAAATAGATAAACCCGGGTCTTGTTAAGTATGTTAAAACTTGTTTCGAATCGTGTCAATGCGTCTCTTTGTTTGTACTCCCAGTTAGTCCGACCTTCTCTCTCTAGAAGTAATTTTTCCTCCTGAATAATAACCTGGGAATATTCTGGATTAGCAATTTATGACAAATCTAAAATAAATTCATTATACATGTAACAAAAAATATTTAAGTTGGAAAAATATAAATCATGAGGAATTATCTTGCTTGTACTCAATAAACTATACAGAGTAAGAAATATTGGGAGAATGGGCAGTGAATTAAGTACATTACATATTAAAAATTAAAAATACAGTACAGGTACGTCAAAACCTATGATTATTACTAAAGATCTTAACCTGAGAACTTATGTTAACAATAGTAAAATAATATGTATGGACTGAGTCAACTGTTTACTTAATTTATGTTACTGAACAGTTTTATCTTCACGAGACTATATAACCTGAGTCGATAATGTCCCCATATTTGTGTTGTCATAAGAGTCACCATTACACAATTCATAACAACCTGCGTCTTTCACCAGTCGATTATTACACAATCTGCTTTCATCCAATTCAGTTTAATTGCGTAACATTTTTCGTTCACATTAGCGTATAACATTCCACGCTAGATATTTGTTATTGTTTTATCACATTCTCTCTCATCGTCATTATGATTATATATCACTTCTTATTAACCTTATGGGGCTGAAATAAAATTACACGGCATAATCATAAACCTTTCTCTTGGCTTTCACGTTCATCTCATACCTGGTACCAGTTTGAGATTCGTAGCCTAGTATATCAACCGTCACCTTGGTCCCTATTTTCCTCTCCAATACCCTCTCTACCGGATACGTGGCTCCTCACTCTGTAACAAAGTATGGATGTTAGTTAAGGAAGTGGTATACGGGAGTTATCTAAACGTTCTGGGAAGCGAGATAAACAGTAATACTTCCTGCATTGATGGGGAGGTGGTTGGTATGGGGAGAGGAATGGCATATTTGAGTGAGATGGAAGGAAAGACGTAGGCGGTGGTGGAGTGATGGTCGCTGAGACACGGGACAGGGCAGTGTGTCTCTTCGGCAGCTTCCATCATGACAAGCAGATCCCAACTGCTTCCTAACGGAGGGACCTAGAAAAGGTGATCCTAAACAAATGCTGTCTGACTCTTGCTCGGGCGGCCCGCTGCAGCCGTCGAGTCATCCCATAATGCAGTCGAAACAATAAAAATAATTAGATTAAGAAAGAACTTAATATTGCTACCTGGTATGTCAGAACCTTATTGGACAGAGGGGAGATAGAAAGACCAAGGAGAAGAACTGCCCTGGTCGGTAATGAGCTCAAGAGATATAACATAGATATTGCTGCTCTTAGTGAAACCCGACTGAGTGGGGAGGACTCGCTGACGGAAGTGGGGGAGGGCTACACCTTTTTATGGAGGGGACTCCCAGAAGACACACGCCGTGATTATGGGGTGCGTTTCGCTGTCAAAACATCACTCCTTCGCAACATCCCTGAGACGCCTGCTGGCATAAACGAAAGGCTCATGACATGGCGCATCCCTCTGGTCAAAGGTCGCTATGTTACCATCTTCATCGCTTATGCACGAACCCTTGATGCTAATAAAGAAACAAAAGACCGCTTCTATAGTATATTGGAAACTGCTCTTGCGGATGTACCACCAACTGACAAAATAAAGGTGACAAATCAATCTGTGGTAACAGCAGGGGCATCTCCCTCCTTGTAGTTGCTGGCAAGATCCTGTCAAAAGTTATGTTATCAAGACTTATCCAACACCTAACGGAGAACACTCTTCCTGAATCCCAATGTGGATTCAGGAAGGATCGCAGTACAATAGACATGATCTTCACAGCTAGGCAAATTCAAGAAAAGAGTCCAGAGCAAAATGTAGACCTTTACACCGCCTTCATTGACCTCTCCAGAGCTTTCGACACAGTAAACAGAACTGTTGTGGACTATGTTGGAGAGGGTCGGTGTACCACCAAGATTTTTAAACATCCTCCGCCAGATGCATGATGGAATGCAAGCCCGGGTACTTGTGGGTGGTGTGTGGTCAGAACCAGTTAGTGTCCAAATGGGAGTAAAACAGGGTTGTGTGCTGGCACCTGTGTTGTTTAACATCTTTTTGATGGCTGTAGCACAACTCTCACATAATGCCCTTGGGCCTGATGCAGGTGTGGAGGTACGGTACCGTCTTGACGGTAGCCTTTTTAATATTAGACGTCTGGAAGCCTACACAAAGATCTTAACAACTTAGGTCATAGAACTACAGTATGCAGATGACTGTGCAATAATGACACATAACAGAGAATCTATGCAACGTGCACTGGACGTGATCTCAGGTATTTACAGCTCACTTGGTTTGCAGATTAACACCCAGAAGACTGAGATTTTTGTCCAGCCCATTGTTCCACCAATAGAAGCACCACAATTCTACATTAATGGAGATCCTATCACAATAGTAAACCAGCTTAAGTACCTTGGTAGCACTCTCACACCCACCTGCTCACTGGATATGGAAATTCAAACCAGAATCAATTTAGCCTCAGCTGCATTTGGACGTTTGAGAACAAGAGTCTTTCTCAACAATGACCACAAATATGGAACGAAGACTGTAGTTTATCTCGCGGTCTGTATATCTATATTATTATATGCCTCAGAAACCTGGACGCCCTACAAACGCCATATCCAAATGCTGGAAAACTTCCACACTAGATGCCTTAAGCGTATCTTTGGAATATCCTGGGAAGATAGAGTGACTCATGAAGAACTATATCGTCGCTCAAACACGACCAGCATTGAAACCATGCTAGCCAAAAGACACTTGCTCTGGCTTGGACATGTTATCAGGATGCCAGACCACCGGCTTCCAAGACAAATATTACATGGCAAGCTCTCACATTAGAAACCGCTCGGTGGGAGGACAGAAAAAGAGATATAAGGACCACTCTATAACTCTACTCAAGTGCTGTAATATACAACCAAATTCACTGGAGCAACTAGCCTCAGGCCGTTCCTTATGGCGCTCAACATGCCATAGAGGAGCGGAAACACTTGAGACCTCACTGAACCAAAAGAGAGCTACTAAACGAACCCAACGACATCAGAGGGCTCAAGGCATAATTCCTCTCAATGAACAACATCCCTGTCACCTATGCAACAAGATCTGCGCCTCCAGGATTGGACTCCATAGTCATCTACGGTGGCATCAGAGGAATAACACATAACTCATCAATCATCTCATCTGGGGCAACGTCGACATCGACTTCAATGGACTGCCATAAGCAGTAAGCAAGTAAGTGTGTGTATTAACTTCTACGCCACGGGAACTCTATCACTAGCAAAAAATAAAACACAACAAGTGACCAGAATAATAATCAGTTTTATGTTATGTTTGGTTAGTGTAAGACTTGTACTGATAGGTTCATGAGCTCACCTGAGCCTTAAGACGCTTCACCTTAGCTCGTCTGTTTTGGAACCAAGTTATAACCTGAGGAGGAAAAAGATATACTTTAGAAAGGATGTTTTTTGAGAAGCTTATATCAATGATCATCGTAAATAACACCTGTTTGTCTTTCCCTGTTTCTACCTGTTTTGTTTACCTTTGTTGTGTTTACAGTTTCTCTTTATTATCATTATTGTCTTATTAATTCGGTCATCACCATTCTTAGTTTACCGAATCTTTCTTTCTATTTTGTCCTTCCTCTCTCCTCATTCACTCCTTTTCCCTCACCTTCCCCTCTACCTCCCTTTTTTCTTTACCCCCTTCTCTCCCTACCTTTCCTCTCTCTTTCCCTGCCCTTCCTCTCTGTACGACTTTCCCTGACCACCCTCCTCCCTTTCCCGACTCCCCCCTCCCTCTTTCCTTACCTCCCTCCCTTCTCTGTCCCTCCCTGGCCTCACCTGACGCTCCTGGAGGTTGAGGTCCCTGGCTATGGTCTTCCTCTGTGGCGGGGTGATGTACTTGTGGCGGGAGAACCACGCCTCCAGTTGGCTAGTTTGGTCACAGGTGAACCTCACTTGTCCTCCGCGTCGCCGTGACCGTCCCACCAGCGGGTAAGCGAGACCTGGCGGGTACAACGGTATATTACTGTAATGTCTTCAAAACCTAACCTAACCTAACGTAAACTAATGTTACGTAACCTAACACTAAATAGACCAACCGGCCGAACGGCTAGTAAGCTAATATTGGAAATAATAATAATAATAATAATAATAATAATAATAATAATAATAATAATAATAATAATAATATTTTGATTGTTTTTAATATAATTGTACTATTTCCATATTTCTGAAGCATAATGTAAATATTTTTTTTTTATTTGTAACTGTAAGATTGTACAGTAAATTTTTGCTAGCTAATTAATTTTCTAGTTCAGTAAATACCTTCCTCATTAACCAGTTATCTCTCTTCAGGCTGTTTTTTATTATAAATAAAACCAGAAATAACAACATGAAAAAACCCAATCAATATAAAGAGAAATCTAAGTAAACTGATCGTAACACAAATCGCAACCTCTCGCCTACACAACCCTCAAGTTGATATTGTTATTTTCAAAAGTGTTCAGGGAATTTCGTCCACAACTGTACTTGAGATGGTAATAACTGGGAGACAGACAGTTAATAACTCCTTCGAAAAGCCAGGTGCGTTTAAAAATGACGACAGATAGAAAAACATCTCATTTAGTAGTATTCTTTGGTGATACATTTTGACAAGATTATGTACCGTATAAATAAAATACAAATAATAAAATGTGACTCGCCAAAGTTGTATTACGAATTTGTTTTGATATTTGTTTTTTGCTGTGAACTCTTATAGCAAGAATAATAATGGTTAAGTTACCCCGAGATGCATGTCTTATGTTGGCCCATTTTCTATATGTACTGTATTTCATATTTTAATATTTTTGGGGGAGAAACAATTAATACATTTTAGTTTTCCATTTAGAGTGATATTTTCTTAGTATTATTAGCATTTTATTTTACTCGAACGCTGTCAACACTAACAAGGTGTGTGCATTGATGGACCCGACATAACTCTCGCAGACCAAAAGAGAGAGATCACACATGCTATGGAACAGAGTCAAGGTATACGCACTGGCATAATAATATCACCCAGAAAATAAGTTACAGAATGGTTTCTGGTCTTCCCCTAAAGAGTTCTCTATTTCTTATAACATCTGATTCTTCTGACGGTTTAACACAACTTCTCTCTGATTTGCTGTAAGTCTTTCATACGCGGGTACGTTGCAGGTAAATCCTTACCTTTCACGGAGAAGCGGTAGGGGAGTGAACAGGTCCGATGGCCGTCTGTTTCCTTGTGAAGTGTAGCCCCCCTGTCCGTCTGGCTGACCTGGTCCCCGCCACCACGCTCAGTCTCTGATCTGACTCTCGTCATCATTTTGGCGTCGACATCAACCTGGGGAACTGGGATCCTCTCCACAGATGACGGCACGGCGGGGAAAGGACCACGAATATGCATTGGCGCACGGACAGGTAAGTCATTAGGGACAGACAGTGGTAGACGGATAGGTAAATTATTATGGACAGGAAATGGTGCACGGGCAGGTAAGTCATTACGGAAATATAGTGAAGGACGCACAGGAAAAGGAGAGCGGTTAGAGAGTGGTGCATGAACCAAAAGTGGGGTGTGGAAGGGTACTGGAGGTTGGACAGATAGTGAAGGACGCACAGGTGATAAGGAGCTGGTAGGTAACGGGGAAAAAACGGGAAGGGGCGGAGTATCCCCCACCTGACTCACCAAACACGAACAGTTATCCCTCAGACCGCCACACCGAAGACTTGGATGCCTGCACTTAGGGGGACTTGGACTTGCAAAATCAGGACTAGAAAATCCAGAATCGAGACACGAATGCCGGCCATCAGAGCTCAGATACCGCCACTCAGGACTAGAGTGTCCATAATCAGACCTCATTTCTCTTTTATCGTTTGTGGTGAACTGATCTTGAAATAACTGTGGTGGACTTGGGTGTGCCTCGACGCCGCGGCACGATGAAGTCAGGTGTGCCTGGTGAGGCAGTGAGGGAGCTGCCGTGAATGGGGTCATCGCCTCACCTACGGGCGGTAAGTTACGTCCGGTAAACTTAGTGGGCGTGTTTACTAGAGCGTATGGTGAGGAGGAGGAGGAGGTCTGGGGGAAGCCAAATACAGGGTAAGGAAAGGATGTTGGAAGGTTACATGACGGAGTAACTGAAGTAGTAAATGGTGAAATCTGCGTACATGATAGCGTGGTTTGGGCCGTCGGTGTGGCTGCTGCCTTTGCAAAAGAGCAAGAAAACGCTGTCGATGAGGCCTGCAGGAGGGAGCGACTGGATGAAGTTCGTGGCGGCGTGCCGGGTGGTAGAGATGTAGGAGAGTGTTGGAGGTAAGGACACCATTGTTGTAGGTGGAGCCGTTCTTGATGTAGAAGATGATAAATCTGGCGAGGGGCGTTGTGTCATCAGCGTGAAGTGACGTGGGTATGGTGGAGTCCACTGTAATATAGGGACAGCAGGATACCGTGGAAGGCGGTGAGGTTGGGACGGAGCTCTCAACGTCACGAGGACGGCAGGGGATGGGGAGGCTGGAGGAGGACCTGGCTGAGGGACACGATAGAATGCTCTCTATAGTAAACATGTCGGCCTGTGAACCCACTGTACTCCGGCGCCAGAGGACTCCACCAGTGTTGAGAAAGTGAACCATGAAGTGAACAGTCCACGAGGTGTCTCCTGCTGGCACTGACGATGATGGCTTCCTTCGTGAGGGACAGTACTCGGTGTGAAGAGTCAACAGCTAATGTGTGACGGCATCCTTAAGAAGCGAGCTGAGTGTAGTAGGAGGACTTGGGTATCTGGCCGTGTGTCCTGTACAGCTCACTTTCCGGAAGTGCCAGTCTGTAGTAGCTGAAAGGTCCCCCAGGGCGCGGGTGCCAACTCTTGACGGTTATCGAGTTTTTCATTATCATCTGTTACTCTTATTAACTGATCACACAAGAATCTGCTCTTTTAACATTTTGGTTCACTTAGAGTTGATAAGTAAATTTTTGAGTGAGAGTCAGTACGGGAGATGTGAGCGAGGGCTACAGCGAGTGAGGCACCTCGATATAATTGTCAGGCTGGTCGAGATATTTATCCTTTAACCTTTGTCAAGAAAAATCTGTGTAACCTGTGAAGACTTTATAAACATGCAACTGTATTTTAATGACTAACATGGATAGCTACCTGAAGATTAACCACCCTAACCTAAATAAACTCACCTTAATTAACCTAACCTGAAACTCAAATTAAACCTGACTTAACCTAACGTAACTGAAACTAACTTATCCTAAACAAACTCACCTTAATTAATCTAACTCTAAACTAACCTGACTTAACCTAACGTAACTGAAACTAACTTAGCCTAAACTTAACCTTACCTAACTAAAACTAACCTAACATAATCTTACCTAATGCTAACCTAACCTAACCTAACTTAACCAAACGGAATGTAAACCCTCTAGACAACGTTTTGGGTGGTTAATCTTCAAGAGCAATAAGTTGGAGGGGGTGAGTAACTTTCTCGACACATACAAAATGACCCATCACTTGACACTCCTTGATCTTCTATATTATAAAGTTTGACTGCCCTTCTTCACCTCTGCGACGAAGCACTGAGCTGCACATGATTGTTTGTTCATGCCCACAGATATGTATTGTTTTTGTTTATGCCCGGCCAAGTGTTGTTTTTGTTTTAGCCCGCTATGCCTTTGCCAGATATGTTGTTTTTGTTTTGCGCCCGGCCAGTTATGTGTTGTTTTGTTTTATGCCCTCGGCCAGTTATGTGTTGTTTTTGTTTTATGCCCCACCAGTTATGTGTTGTTTTTGTTTTATGCCCGAACAGTTATATGTTGTTTTGTTTTATGCCTCAATTATGTGTTGTTTTTTTTAAGGCCAGTTATGTGTTGTTTTGTTTATGCCCCAGTTATGTGTTGTTTTTGTTTTATGCCTCGGCCAGTTATGTGTTGTTTTTGTTTTTATGCCTCGCCAGTTATATGTTGTTTTTGTTTATGCCTCGGCCAGTTATGTGTTGTTTTTTTTTATGCCTCGGCCAGTTATGTGTTGTTTTTGTTTATGCCTCGGCCATTATGTGTTGTTTTGTTTTATGCCTCGGCCAGTTATGTTTATGCCGGCCAGTTATGTGTTGTTTTTGTTTTAGCCCCGCAGTTATTTTTTATGGCCAGTTATATGTTGTTTTTTGTTTTATGCCTCGGCCAGTTATATGTTGTTTTGTTTTATGCCTCGGCCAGTTATATGTTGTTTTTGTTTTATGCCCGTTTTATCCGCCAGTTATATGTTGTTTTGTTTTATGCCTCGGCCAGTTATATGTTGTTTTGTTTTATGCCCCGGCCAGTTATATGTTGTTTTGTTTTATGCCTCGGCCAGTTATATGTTGTTTTTGTTTTATGCCCGGCCAGTTATATGTTGTTTTTGTTTTTGCGCCCCGCCAGTTATATGTTGTTTTTGTTTTATGCCTCGGCCAGTTATGTGTTGTTTTTGTTTTATGCCTCGGCCAGTTATGTGTTGTTTTTGTTTTATGCCTCGGCCAGTTATGTGTTGTTTTTGTTTTATGCCTGGCCAGTTATGTTGTTTTTGTTTTTATGCCTCGGCCAGTTAAATGTTTTTTGTTTTATGCTCGGCCATTTGGTTGTTTATAAAAGTGTTGTTTTGTTTTATGCCTGGCCAGTTATGTGTTGTTTTTGTTTTATGCCTCGGCCAGTTATATGTTGCTTTTGTTTTATGCCTGGCCAGTTATGTGTTGTTTTGTTTTACGCCTCGGCCAGTTATGTGTTGTTTTTGTTTTATGCCCCGGCCAGTTATGTGTTATTTTGTTTTATGCCTCGGCCAGTTATGTGTGTTGTTTTGTTTTTTGCCTCGCCAGTTATGTGTTGTTTTTGTTTTATGCCCCAGTTATTGTTGTTTTTGTTTTATGCCTCGGCCAGTTATGTGTTGTTTTGTTTTATGCCCGGCCAGTTATGTGTTGTTTTTTGTTTATGCCTCGGCCAGTTATGTGTTGTTTTTGTTTTATGCCTCGGCCAGTTATATGTTGTTTTTGTTTATGCCTCGGCCAGTTATGTGTTGTTTTGTTTTATGCCTCGGCCAGTTATGTGTTATTTTTTGTTTTTGCCCCGGCCAGTTATGTGTTGTTTTTGTTTTATGCCTCGGCCAGTTATATGTTGTTTTTTCCTAATAACACAACTTCCTCGAATATACCAGCCTCAACACACAGAAAGGATTCCATCAGCCATTTATATGTTATATATGCATAGAAATATATTAAAATAGTATACACAAAAAAAAATTGATAAACTAAAAATAGTTAGGATGGATCGTGTAGATTGATACACAGTTAAATGGTTCTGTCCTTTTTTTTTAACCAGTATACATGTCGGTAATTTTGCAAAATAACCCATTTCGCCCAAGAAACCGTAACACATATATAGACTTAGTTTCAAGCCAAACCAAACATAAAACCAAACTCCTAACCAAACCTAACGTGACCAGGATATAGATCTTCTTGGTGTGAATCATCTGACATCCAGCTGGTAGAGAAACACACCACCCTGTTCTCGGGTCAACAGGCTGTAGATCGAAAGAAACAGAGAGAGAGAGAGAGAGAGAGAGAAGAGAGAGAGAGAGAGAGAGAGAGAGAGAGAGAGAGAGAGAGAGAGAGAGAGGCTACAGTCTGGTGATGACATGTGTTACAACTGCTCAACTTATCACTGACTGACTTTTCCCGTCTTTTCTCGTTGTAAGCGTTAAAGGTTCAGTGTGTTTACTGATTACATTCACCTGTTGAGCTTTGTTACCTGTACTTGGCCACCATTAAGATAGCTAATTACTCTCAGGTTTAATTGTAGTTGTACAGGTATATCAGTTAAATATCCACAAGCACATAGGTGTACACACACACACACACACACACACACACACACACACACACACACACACACACACACAAATTTAACCACCACAACCAACACACGTCCTTATTAAACTACTTGTTTTATCACGACCAATTTAGAGCTGACCTTAACGAGCCAAACAGCTAATTAGTTGTTGTAGTTGAGAGTAACTAATAAGAGGGACAACCAACCTCTTTACTCCCCCAGTTTATCACGACCTTACTCGGCCTTCCTCTTAAGGGGTCGTGTCAGGGGTTCAAAGTTGACTAGATACTGTTTTTAAGAACCTTGATTGTATGTATGTATGTATGTATGTATGTATGTATGTATGTATGTATGTATGTATGTTTGTTAACAAGACATATACAATGTATCTATTGACTTTAAATATGAATATCATGCCAATTTCTTAACCCTGAACTTAAACAGGTACAGATATTCAGGTGTATTGGCCACATATACACCTGATGGTTTGTACACACACACACACACACACACACACACACACACACACACACACACACACATACACAAAGTAGCTTCGTGTGAACTTTGAACCCGTAAGATGGGCGTTAAACTATCTCTCTTGAGTATGTTGGGTTTAGGTGAAGTAGAGTGGTGAGAGACAGTGAGCTACAGGCCGTCAGCCACTGCCTCTCTCTGTTTCATCAGTTTCCGTATCTCCTAAATGTTCAGGGATTCCCACTTTATCTGTACTCGGAGCCGATACTTCCTTGTATCTTTTATCTCCACATGACGGCAGAGTTGACACTATTTCGACACTATTTTTCACTTCAGACAACGAAGCCTTCGTTGTGTTGATGTAGGTGGTGATGATCAACACACAGGTAAAAAGGCTCACAGGAGACTAGCGGCCACCAGCTTGCGTGAGGTACTGAGGTGTTTGTCACCATTTCTCTCGCCGAATGTCGTGATAACACGCGCTAAATTAATTCCCTGCTGTGTCTGCCTGGCCAATATTTATCTCAAAACTCAACTTTTCCCATAAAACTACTTTGTCCAATTTTTTTTTTCAGTAACTTTTAATACCCGATATATATATATATATATATATATATATATATATATATATATATATATATATATATATATATATATATATATATATATATATATATATATATATATATATATATATATATATATATATATATGAAACACTCACACACGCTTACCGTGCTAAAAATAATATAAGGTGAGTTTGAACTGTACATACAGTGTTCCTGAACGAGTGGAACATATTCTTCATTACATATAGTTTATGTAGTCGACATCTGGATATACTGTACTGTAGTGTACATTACTGTAGAGATATATTGATACGTTCTCCTGATGCTTGGTGCCAGTGAGGGGTCAGTTCTCCTCCCTCCCTCCCTCCCTCCAACCCTGTGCTACAGTAGGTTATCAAGTCCCCCAGCGTGGTGGACAACCCTCCCTTCACCTCCTCCACACACACACACACACACACACACACACACACAATATATACA